CCCCCAAAACCCCAAAACCCCAAAACCCCAACTTGAAGATCATGTATTGAATTACATTTTTATAATTAATCACTTTCATCACTATCTTCACTTTCGTTGCTCATTTCTTTATCTTTTTGTTGTTCTTCAGCAGGACCTTGTTCATCTTCAGATTCACCTTCATCTTCACCTTCTGCTTCACTATCGCTCTCACCTTCATCGTTTCCAAACTTAGATGCGAACTCCTGGGCCTTATTCCTGACTCTCTCGACATCCTTCTCAGATCCATATTCTGTCTCAAATTCAAGATACCGCTTGAAGAGGAACTTAATTTGCTTTAGCTTGATGTTCTCTCTAGCAAGAAGCTTGTCAAAGACCTTCCTTATATTTCCCTTGTTCTTACTATGCTTTATTTCTAAATCTAGATAGGTAGAGACGATATCAGTTCTATTGGGGTAAGAATGAATGATAGACTCATGCATAGTCCTTCCTTTCTCAATGTTTCCATATTTGTACTCTTCAGTAGCATACTTTCTCATCAATTCTATCTGTTGCTTTCTTTCAAGAATCTTCAGTGCTTTTGAGAGGACATCAATCTTCTCAGTCAATTCAACATCAACAAGTAAGATATGGTCAGGGTGCTTATCATCCTCTTTGATGTTATGAGCTTCAAATAAGTATTCAACATATTTCTTCCATACATCAAGATGGAAGTTATACTTCTTCGTCAAGATGATGTAGAATCCTTCAATAATTTTATAGTTCTTTCTCCTTTTATAAATGTCAATAACAGCCAAGTAGATTTCCTTCTGATCGTTAATCTTTAAAGCTCTGTTAATGATGCTCTTAAACTCTTTTTCTTTTCCAAATTTACTCTCTAAGTTCATGTAAGCAATCCAGAGGTTAAGTTTTTCTTTCAGCTTAGTGATATCAATAGATTTCACTGCTCTCTCACAAAGAACCTTAGCATCTTTATATCCTTTCTTGGCAAGTTCCTGAGAGATATAGTGGATCCAGAGGAAAGAGTTACTTGGGTTTGCCAATAACATTCTTTCATAATAGTGGGAGTCATGATCCTCCTCTTTGATACCTCTTTCTTTAAGCATGATGCTAATCTCTTCTTGGATGTGTTGGTTCATTGTCTTTGTCTCTTTCTTCTTATCTTCTTCTTTTGCTTCTTTTTCTTCTTCTTGTTCTTTCTCTCCTTCTCCCTCAGCTTCGCTATCATCTGCCATTTCTTCATCTTTGTCTTCCTCTTCTTCATCTCCTTCACCTTCGTCAAACTTCAAAAACTTAGTGATTTTCTTGGCTTCTTCGTCCATCTCTTTATCTGAGCTTTCTTCTCCGACTTCTAAAAGCTCTTGAAGATCTTCAATATTTTGTTCAACTTCATTCTGGTTGATGTTGACTTCGCTGACCTTCTCCTCTTCATCATCATCCTTGTGTTGGAGGAAGTCTTGTTGGACTTCTTTCACTTCGCTCATTAAGGAGATAAGGCGATCATATTCCTCAGTCATCACTTCGTTGCACTCTTCTACTTCATGCATCATAATTTTAGGAGGGTTGTCCTCATTAACGGATTTGATTCTAGCAATGATCTTTTGTCCAATTTTGACAGTAGGGTCTTCCTTTGTTAGTTTAACTTTACATTTATACCTGCTTCCAATGATCTGGCAGAAAGCAAGTTTATTAGCAATTGATAAAACCATAAGTTTGGCTTTGAATCCTGCTTGGAACTCAGAAATATCAACTTCATCGATTCCATAGGTAACAATTGATTCTCTCAAAGTAATGTTTACCTTATCTTTATAGAAATTAAGGATTCTTCCCAGCACTAAGGTGTTTCTAGATAAGAAATCTTCAGGCTTTACATTGGGGTCATCACTGATTTCTCTCAAGTTAGCTCTTACAGATAAGTTTCTAGCCAATTTAATAAACACACCGTGTTGGTTAATGCTAGTGACATATCCTCTAACCAATGTGTTTTCGGTAAGAAGCTCTCTCCAATTATGATATTTAATAATCAGATTTCTAAGATCTCCTTTCTTTTGGGATTCTCCAAAAGCCTTTTTATATTCAAGACTTGTTCCATCAGTGCCTAAGATTTTATACTTTTCGTCATCAACAAGAGAGTCTCTTGCTGAAAGTTGGATTTTTGTTTGTGAGACATCGATAACTCTTGCAAAGAATAAAGTTTTATCGAATTTCTCGATCTCATCAGTTAGTTCACAGATATCAATAAATCCATACTTTGTAGGAGAAAGTTGAACTGTTGCTCCAAATCCATTCTTGAATTTGACATATCTGCAGAGAGCCTTTGATCCTTCTTCAAATCTTTTGACTGATCTTTCTTGTTCAGGAGGGATAAGAGAGCATTCGATTTTGCCTTCACCTTCTTTTGGAGTCTTGATATAAACATCAATGACTGATCCGATTTCGAACATTCTCTCGAGCTCACTTTGGTCAAATCCTTCCTTGAGTCCAAGATCGGAGAAGAAGACAACTCCAAGGTGCTTTTCGCTTAATTTGATAGTCAGAGGATATGAGCAAGACTTATTAAATTTGCAAATGATTCCTTGCGCCTTATCTCCTTTTTCGAAATTAGCATTTTTAGGAATGTAAATCTTTGATCTTCCAGCAGCATCTTGTCCAGGCTTTGGCTTGAACTTAATTGATTCCTCCTTAGAGACTGTCAATGAAAGTCCTTCTTTTGTTTTAAACAAAAGATATGCCTCGATAAGAGTTCCCTTCTTGAATGAGATTTTCTCTCCATATTTCTCAAGATTATCGAAAGGTAAGAATCCTCTGAGATTGTTGAAGTATTCAATAATGTATCCTTTCTCATCTCTAGCCTTGAGAACACCAGTCATTTTGACTCCGTTCTTAATCATGGGATCATCAAGATTTAGTGGAGTGAATACCTTATTCTTGACAATTGATTCTTTCATTGTAAGTTCGAGAATTTCACTATCGCTTATCACCTTCCAGGTCTTCATAGTAATCTTTCCCTTAGTAGATCTTAGCTTTTTGTTGATCTTCTTTTGTGGGGCATCGCTAATGTGGGTCTTGTAAACTCTTCCAAAAATCTGGTCATTGAGATCAACAACAAAATAGTTATCATCTACTGTTTCCCTAATAGTACCTTCTACAGTGATTCCTCCCTTGACTGTATCCCAGTTGAGGACAACATTCTCATTGATTCCTTCCATTGAAGAGACAATAGGGATGTTGTCGAAGTAGTTGAACTCTTTGATTCTAACATTGCAATGAAGTTTCTCATCAACCTCAAATTCTTTCTTCTTTTCAAAAGCATCCTTTGTCCTCTTCTTTTTGTTCTCTTGGATCTTGACAGCAGCTGCAATATGGTTTTGATGTAAGAAACATTTGAGAATATCACCGGTTTCAGTGCTTTCTCCCTGGACAATGTAGGAATGGCCATAAACTTTCTTCAGTACTTTTACGTTAGTCAAAACTTCTCCTTGCCTTGCTGGAGGAGCAGTATTTTGTAGCTTAACGATGTTTTCAAGTTCACTGAGACCAATTCTTTTCTTCTCAAAATCAACTGAAATTACTCTTGCCAAAATCTTTCCTTTCTTTTTGTATTTCGAAAGATCCTGAGCAAGATGATCAATGAAGATGACCCCATTGACTCCTTTACCAAAGGAGACATTTAGGCCATTTTCTACAATGCTTTGGATCTTACACTCAACAAGGAAGCCAGGCTTGACACATTCAAAATTAATCTCTGAGTGAATATCAATAGCCCAATCCTCTATGTTCTCAATGGCTGAAATATGAGCGCATTTGATAATTTTCTGACTCTTCGAGATTGATCCCTTCATAATGACAGTGATTAATTCTCCTTCTTGAAGCTCTTTTCCTTTATAATCTTTGAAATTGAGAAAAGCTTTGCCTTGATCTTTCAAAAGAAGATCAATAATGTATCCTTTTCCCTCTTTACTCTCTACAGTTCCTTGGAGTTGCATTCCTTTAGTCAATTTATCTGAGGTCAAAAATGTGTTGAAAATATTGAGGTTATCAGTTAATTGAAGGTTTTTGTTCCTCTTGATAAACTTGTTATTTGAAGACTTGTTTCTAGTGCCGACAACTACTCCATAGATATAACTTCCTGCTTTCTTCCCAATGATCCGGCCATCAACTGCTGACATATATCCCTTCTTGTTCCTGCTATGATTCAGGACAACGAATTGGTCTTTGTGAACCTTACTCACAGCCATCATGACCAAAGACCCTTTGCCCGGGTTATACTTTGGAACCTTGTTGGTAACTGAGATTCCTTCTTCAAACTCTAAAGCTTGCTCTCTTCCAATCAAGAACTCAGACTCTTTGAGGTATTCATCAACTTCTTTTGTCTTTGTTCTCTTTCTCTTGCTAGAGATAACAAATTTAGAGCCATCTCTTCTCTTCTTAGAGACTCCCTCTTTAGTGTTGAAGAGGAAACCACCCTCTGCCTCGGGTTTCTTCTTGCTTCCTCTTGGAAAATACTTAGTCGTGTTTTTCTTTGAACTCATTTATTTAATTTAATTCTAATTCAATTAGAGTGTTGCCTCGTGGGGTTTTGGGGTTTTGGGGTTTTGGGGTTTTGGGGTTTTGGGGTTTTGGGG